AAGAAAAAATAAATAAATAAAATTAGTCAGGGGTAGTGGCATGTGCCTGTTGTCCCAAGCTACTCAGGAGGCTGAGGCTGAAGTCAAGGCGACAGTGAGCTGTGATGACACCACTGCATTATCTGGAATCTGAGACTTGAACCTAATGAAGACTCTATTTCTCATCTCTGCCCTTCTCTGAAAGTCTGCATTTTTTTCTCTCTTTCTGCAGACCATCATCTTTCACTTCTGTCCCTCTGGTGGGAAAACGGTTTGACAGCTTCCAAGCTTTAAACTTAAGAGAAAAGCTGGTATCTCTGGTTCCATTCCAAATTTCTATAAAATGAGATTTTGATTGCCCCAGGTTGGATTAGGTCCCCACCTCTGACCCAATAAGCTATGGGGCAGTTTTTGCCGTAACCTTATAAATGGGGGAAGGGGAGGGTCAATTCTCAGAAAAAAAGGGGCTGGGCAGACAGTCCCATAGGTGTCCATTATACTAAAAAACCTCTATTCCTTCCATCTTTCATCCCTTCAAGTCACTGCCGTCTCCTTTCACTGCTTGCTTTCAAGAGTTACCTATGTACGCTGCCTTACCATCTACTTATTCTTTGCCAGTCGGGCTTGTTCCATCTTCACTATTCTAAAATTTTTTTTTTATGGAGCTCAAAGCTTTTTTGCTTTTGCATCCTAATAGAGTGTTCTCCTATCTCATTCATCTTGATCACTCTTGGGTTCTGCACTTCTGCATTCTAACTCTGCCTGCCATTATTTCCCACCTTCCAGTAAGTTCCAGGCCAGATCTGGCTACAACTCATTTCAGATACTGTTTTCTGCTCTATTCCTGCTGAAAGAGTAGGCCGGCCCTAAAAGCCAGAAAGAAGACAGGAACTGCGTCGGTTTCATCTCAGTATGTTGAAAATACATTTTTCAAGATTATGACTCTGTACATCTGAAATTAGAGCCCTTGCAACTGTTTAGAAAAGCTCCTGGCAGACGAAAACACAATGAAGTTCGGAAACCAAAGGCCCTAACCATAGGACACAGTGGATGTGGGAGTACCAAAAAGATACAACTTGTAATTTGTGTTGGTAATTATCTCCTAGCCCAAAGAGATCCTGAAGGCAAGGATATTCGACTTTGTCTCTGCATTGCCTTAGGCAAGTAAATAATGTCAGTTTCATCTTTTGTTTTTTTTTTGAGACGCCCAGGCTGGAGTGCAGGAGTGGTGCAATTTCCGCTCACTGCAACCTCCGACTCTCTGGTTCAAGCAATTCTCGGGCCTCCGCCTCCGCACTCACCCCCACGCCCAGC